AGCGACTTTCACTTTTTTTGTTGTCTTTGGACAAAGGTTCTTCGTCTTCAGATGATTCATTTTCAGAGTTTGATTCATTGTAATCCATGTCGTCATCTATATCGATTTCATCAGAGGATGAGGATATTTCTCTGATATCTGACGATTGTTCAACATCACAAATAACTGTTGTTCTGTGTGGTATTTTTTCCGAGTATTGCCTACAACTGTAAAAAAAGAAAGAAAAAAAAATCAGGTTGCATAATGAAAATAATGAATAATAATAAATATATTTTTATAATAAATTATCAAAATCAGGGATTTTCTTGAAATTTCAACAAACTAAATAAGGCCTTAATATTGTAGAATGCCTAATTAAAAATATTCCCACTTGAGATACAGTATTATTATTAGTTAGTACTAAGTTTAGTGAACTGTAAACCTAGGTACTTGGTAATTTTCATTATTTTTTTATTTAAAAATTTATTAATAAATTTAAAGAATATATAAGAGATCTAACTAAATACTGACTAAGATATGTGTATCTAAATGAGTAATTACTTTGATAACAATGATACCATTTAAACACAGCTAAAAATGACATCGATTTCATAGAACAATGACTACGCCTTTTACTCTTATGTGTGTCGTCACCGTTTCACCGGTGTTGTTGTTTTGATTTGAGTCCTGTGTCCAGTAGACTGAACACCTTTTTCAATGATGAAATAAACTACGATATAATAATATATGAATAAAAATTCTATTATATTCGTATTCTTTGACATATAATTGTGTTAAAACAACATTAAAATCTTTAGATTGATTTAAATCTAATAAATAATAGCAAAAAACTTACCAGCACCCCCTGAACACGAAGATACTGCCCCTCTGTCGGCCATCTTAAAATTTAGTATTGTCTATCTCGGCGTAAAAGTACGTGAAACTAGTGTAAAAATGTGTCCAGCAGGCTACACAAGAGGATCCAAAAGAAAATTAGCTACCAAGTTAGAATAAGACATAGAAAACTATTGTCCAGTGGGCTGCACGCCTGGACTCAGGAGGTTAAAGATAAAACTTTAAAATGATGACCCAACTCGCCGTATGTTTATGTTATAATGCTCTGTTATCTAACATAATGTTTCTGGTACTGTCTTCATCAGCTGTATTATTTCAACCATGGCTCGTATGGAGATGATCGTCAGTTTCGCCATTTTGGCTATTGCCTCTGCTAGCTACAGTGGTTCTAACTACGGTAGCCAGGGCAACTACGGTAGCTCTGGAAAAGCCTATGATGGTCAGAGCAACTACGGCAGCAACTATGGAAATAACCAGTACAAGAATGTAGGCAACAACGACCAGTACAGAGATGGTCTTTACTACGATCCAGGCACCAGCTACGTCCAGGCTTATGGGGGATCAAACAGCTACCAATCTGGAAATGACTACAACAACAACAACAACAACTACGACAACAACAACTACAAATCACCAAGCTACAATGTCCCAAGCTACCCCAAACCAGCCTCTTACGGTGCAAAATATGCCACCTACAACAAACCATCCTACACTGCCCCAGCCCCAACCAGCTACGGAAGTGGATCCTCCTACACTGCCCCAGCCTCAACCAGCTACGGAAGTGGATCCTCCTACACTGCCCCAGCCTCAACCAGCTACGGAAGTGGATCCTCCTACAATGCCCCAGCCTCAACCAGCTACGAAAGTGGATCATCCTACACTGCCCCAGCCTCAACCAGCTACGGAAGTGGATCATCCTACACTGCCCCAGCTTCAACCAGCTACGGAAGTGGATCATCCTACACTGCCCCAGCCTCAACCAGCTACGGAAGTGGATCATCCTACACTGCCCCAGCCTCAACCAGCTACGGAAGTGGATCATCCTACACTGCCCCAGCCTCAACCAGCTACGGAAGTGGATCATCCTACACTGCCCCAGCCTCAACCAGCTACGGAAGTGGATCATCCTACACTGCCCCAGCCTCAACCAGCTACGGAAGTGGATCATCCTACACTGCCCCAGCTTCAACCAGCTACGGAAGTGGATCCTCCTACACTGCCCCAGCCTCAACCAGCTACGGAAGTGGATCATCCAACACTGCCCCTGCTTCAAGCAACTACGGAAGTGGATCATCCTACACTGCCCCAGCCTCAACCAGCTACGGAAGTGGATCATCCTACACTGCCCAAGCCTCAAACAGCTATGGAAGTGGATCTTCCTACACTGCCCCAGCCTCAACCAGCTACGGAAGTGGATCATCATACTCTGCCACCGGCTCTAACTACGGAAGTGGAAGCTCTTACTCCAACAGCGATGACTCCAGTGTTGGAACATGTGAGTTAATTTATAAACTGATTCTAATTTCCGATAAAAACTATATTTTAAATAAGTTGACTAATGACAATGTCATTTTTTTAAACTTGAATTACCGACCTAATCATTTCTTCTTCATTACTATAATAATCATATATTGATAGGGGAAACAAATGTAATAAATAAAAACAATCTCAAATGTTAACATTATTACTTTGGCTTCCCTATTCCCCAGACCCATGTGGACCTAAAGACGAAGGCAAGACCTACGCCATTGTTGGACTGTGTTACGGATATTACGAGTGCTACTATGGCGAGTCTCTCTACCGTCAATGTAACAACTACTACAGTTTCGATGCCTACTCTGGCAAATGTGTCGCTGACAACACTTGCGCTTACGGTAAACTTTTATTTTTTAAATTGTTTGTTCATTTTATTTTTGCCGGCAAAACTTTGATTTACAAATGATCACATCTACTTAATTATAACGAAGTTGTTCATGCTTATAGGTATTCTTTACTTCAAAGATTACAAGAGTTGTCATTAAATATAACTTCAATTATATATTTTAACATCTCACCATTTGACTATTTCAATATTTAACTATATCACTATCTTACTTTAACACTATCTTTGGAAAACATTTCTATTTGTCCATCACAGTTGCCCCAGCCGTTGCCTACGACAACAGCAACTACAACAACAACGGATACGCCGCTGCCAACAACAACAACTACAACAGCAACGGATACGCCGCTGCCAACAACAACAACTACAACAACAACGGATACGCCGCTGCCAACAACAACTACAACAACAACGGATACGCCGCCGCCAACAACAACAACGCCAACAGCGCATACTCAGGCAAATCCAACAGTGGATATTAAGTCTAATTTTTTTTTTTTTGATGAATTGTTGTGGAACGTCCATTCATTACATGAGTGCGACGTGTCGTGTGTGTCATGTGTGTCAAGTGTGTCATGCGTGTCGTGTGTGTCAAAGCTCGAACGGTTGGTCTCACCAATGTCTGTGTAACGAACAGTGAAACTCTAAATAAATGTTGAACAACATAATGATGAGGTTTTTCTTTCATTTCTTGAGACTATTTTATGAATATTCGCATGGTAATTAATTTTGATGGCATATGAGCTATGTTTTTATTCAATAAAGTTATTGATCACCAATCTTCTTTAATATACTTATTTTCATAATATGGCTTCGCTATAACAATGATCACATATTGTCTTTACTTTAGCAATGATCACTAATTGGTTTTAAATATAACAATGACCAAACATTGTGTTTACTATAGCAATAATCATACATTGACTTGACTATAACAACAATCAAAAATTGGCTTTGCTATCACAAAAATTATAAAATGGCTTAAATATTGCAATGATCACAAGATGTCTTTACCTACGTATCACACGGCCGCCATCTTGGTTGTCAGGACCCATGAACTTTTACCGGGTTCACGGCGCGCGGCCACCAAGTAGGCGTCGTGCAACAATCAAATAACTCACGTCTGCTAACATTAGAAAAAAAAGATACAATTTCATGAAAAAACTTCCACCGGTAAATAAATATCGTGGTGAACGTTGTAACTTAATTTTATCCGTCTAGATATTTGGCAAGAAGCGTCTACGATCTGTGGTCACTACTTTCCTTCGGGTAATTCAGTCGGTACACACACAAAATAAATCAGTCACTCAACGGCACCCAAGCCTTTTTAAACCAGCCCTAGAGACTCATGGGGAAAAAAAGAATACCTGTGCGACTGCAGTTACACACTGTATCAAGAGAACTAAAAAAATAAAGAAAAACAAGAAAAATAAGTGTAAAATAACTAAATAATGAAATCCCGACTTACAGTTTCACAGAATACAATTTTACACACTTAATTTCAGGTTCCACTGAAAAAAATATCCTGAAGATGAATAAAAGCCAAAATCCAAGTCAAAATGCCCAAGTCAAATTTATTTCAAATATGGAAAAAAATGTAAAATATTATAATTACCCAACCAATGAAATTTTAAAATCATAATAAATTAACCAATACAAATTTAATTAAAACACGTCATCGTCATATTAAAGAAAATGTAACTCTATTAACAAAAAAGGGGGAGTGAATCCAAAACAGAAACTTAATAAAAACTCGTAAATGACGTCATGGTGACATCTCTTAGTATTAGCCTTTTAAAAACAACAAGTCATTTACTTGGTCTTGTCGATTTATACTTATCAAGCTTACTTGCATGTTTACTCTCAGAGTGCCGTTGATGTTATACTCTTTCAAAACAGAAACAGATTCGTGGCCTATTTGTTTTAATTTCAAGGAAAAAATTGTTTCTATTCCACCTGTCTTGAAAACATCTTAGTTCTTCTGGGATTTTCTAGTTTTGTTTTGGGCCAATGTCTTTCCTAGTTGACGCCATGGTAAGTCATAAGTATGAGCCCGATCGCGTTGCGAGCGTCCCGAAGACGCCGCAGATCACAGAACACACATATCGGAAGCTGAAATCTCATATAAAAGTCTTATCAACACCCTAGCGTCGAACAAAACCTTAGTAGCATTGGGTGTCAGTTGGCAAGAGATTTGAAATAGCTAAAATCTATTCAATTTTTTAAAAAATTCTGAATATTTAAAATAGATTAAAACCTTTGAATTTTTAAAAAAAAAAATTCTCTTTGTTACGAAAACTTTTACCCCATACACATACAGTTACTAAAAAATTTACTCCATAGATATACAGTTAAGAAAACATTTACTCCATAGATATACAGTTACGAAAACTTTTACTCCATACATATACAGTTACTAAAACATTTACTCCCTAGATATACAGTTACGAAAACCTTTACTCCACAGATATAATGTTACGAAAATATTTACTTCATAGATATACAGTTATGAAAAGATCTACCCCATAGATATACAGTTACGAAAACATTTACTTTATCCCCCACAGTTTGCCTTTGGATAGACAAGTTATAAAATAACTTATATTTGCAAAATGATTAAGCAATATTCTTTTTAATAAAAAAAAATCATATCAATTTAAAAAAATCTGTAACATTAACTGTCTTACAGATACAGATTTATTCAACTTATTTGAAATATTTTTGAAAGGATCCCGTTCTGCAAACATTTAATTAATTTTTTTTTTTTTAAATGTCATGCATCAAACTAACAAACATCACAGTGGTGTTAGCGCAGCGACTCCATTAAATCACATCTAATAAATCTCTACCTATGAATTTATGTATGTATGGTAGTGGGTACTTTTTATTAAGAGTACATTGAGTTGGTGAATATTATCATTTCCGCCTTCATATCATTTGTTGATGTCATTGTTTGACTGAGTGAACATGGATCGAATGACGTCACCGTGAATTCAGAGTTTTAAAAATCTCTATTATTGGGTCTGTTTTAATTAACCCTACTTAACTTACTGGGATTGAGTTTAGAAACAACAAACATGATTTTGGAACCAACCCAAAGTAGGCGGCAACCACGGGCAGGCTACTCTCTTGTAAAAATTTTAACTTAGCAAATAGTCTCAATTTAAATATGATCTTACTAGCAAATATGACCCGATGTTACCGGGATAATAATGGAAACCATTGTTATGTAGCATACATTCCCCGTGAATGAATTTTACTTGACCTAAATTAGAATCCAAGGAGACAGTAACGTCTGTTGTGGGCGTGGCCTATTCGTTTGATGTATCTTATTTACAACCGTGTTTACCAATTAAACATGTTAGACTGCCTTCCTGGTATTTTTTTCGTATGTGCTCGATAACCCAAGAAATGTAAACAACACGTCATAAGTATCTCTGGAAGGCAGGGCTTACGCGTCCTATATAAGGGATTGACAGGCACGGACGGAGAGACGGAGATTCAGATAGATAATTATTAACTTCACGAGACGTGTATTATGTATTTGTGTATTTATGTGTTTATTTCGCATTCATCATTATTAATTGGCACATTGTATTAACTGCGTACCGGTACAAGATCTACCATACTTTAAGTTGATGATTTATAATTATATTTGTTTTGTTTTGTTATTGTATTAATACTTAATAAATCTTAATTAATTGTAACTGGCAATTCTTCTGGGTGTCGTATCTTTAATATTGCTGACTCTATGGTATCGCCCTTTGTTAGGCACTGTTTACAACGAGCCAATAAAATTAAAATAGGAGATTAATTTCTCATATTAGAAGCCAGTGCGTAAACCATGTTGCACTTTTTTCCACCTAGACTTGTGAAGTCTCAACATCTAAAATACCATTTGTACTTAAGTAAATGAATCGAGTTTGATGTGCTGTATCCTCGAAAAAATTATTTTTTAAATTTCAATGCCCTTGAAGGTATACTTAGGAAATATTAAATTAGACTTTCGTTATTTCAAAATAAATATCTATTTATAGAGATTTATATTTCTCATATTATTGGGCTATAATATTTGTTTACTCCTATATACCATGGGCCAATGCAACCTATTTCCACGCCCATGAACTACAAATAAAACATGTCTAAAATTGTATTAACAAGCCCAGCCCCTGAACAAGGCTATCGTAAAATCGTAATTTTAAAAAAAAAATATTATATTTAAAGACGAATCTATGATCCAATTTTCGCACCTGAAAGTCTTGTGCTCTTAAAATATCTTTCTCAATCTCATCAAAATTGCCCTTGACCATAAACTATATCTTATGCAAAATGTAAAGAAAAAACCCCCTTATCCTTAAAAATAATCTTAACCCATATTTTGCCCACGCTCCTGAGCTGCATTTTCGATAAACAATGAAACAAAGTTATGTAACTATTAAAGGTAAGTTTTAACTTCTATCAATTGATTGTTTTTTTAAATTATTATTATCACAATCACAATACAATACAATAACAATCACAATCACCCACCACTTACCCTCGCCGTTGAGCTACATACTGGTATTTTGAAAAATTGAAAAAATAACGAGTTTCAAAGAAAATCTAATCCATTATTTTTCCAACTTAACTAAGTTTTGAATGTTCTAATGTGAATGTGTTGACAATGCGTCAACGCCGATGAACTCCATCTTCTGACATCAATCTAATACGTAGTTATTTATTTGGAAAAGGGTATTTTAAAACCTCTTTTTCCACATCTGTAACATCGTATTGATATATATTGTTATTCACATTAAAATGCACACGTCCTCCCTCTTCCCCACTGAAATTTGCTTGAGGTAGAAAGTTCTTTATATTATTTCATTTATATTAAAACTGTTTATATACCATTTTCTGGTGAGTGTCCTATTTCAAATTTAGCTAACCCCATCATTATCGCCCACCCAATCGTTGGCGCATCTTGTGCTGCCTGGGACGGCCCCACCCCTAAACCCCACTTGTTTTATTCTGGTTTTTAAAGTAACCCATTAATAACGTAGTTGCTCAATTTTTTACCCACCCGGAACTATATTAATGACCCACTTAAATGTCCCAACCCTGAACTATATTAATGACCCACTTAAATGTCCCAACCTGGAACTATATTAATGACCCATTTAAATGTCCCAACCCTGAACTATATTTATGAACCACATGAGTGACCAAAATCTGAACTATATTAATGTCCCAAATGAATGTCCCAAGCCTCAACATTATTAATGACCTAAATAGATATCCCAAGCCTGGACATTATTAATGAACCACATAAATGTCCCAACCCTGTGTCACAAATGACTGGTCGGGTACAGGACAGAGCTCCATTGTTGTTAAGGTAACTTATAGGATTGACGGAAACTGCTGTTAAGTGGGATAATGGACTCTCACATCTTGAGATAGAGGAGATCCTTTCTTTAAATAATATTATGTTCAGGTCTCCCTGACTTCACATGGTAATTTTGGGGTTAACGAAAGGAAATTCTAATCGATCGGAAAATAGGGGCAGGAATGTGTTAATAGAGGGAATTCCTTGACCATCTATGGGGGTAGAGCATCGCATATAAGACATAACTTTTCATGATAGTGGTAGTTGAGGTAGAGAGAGAGAGAAGAGCTGAGAGAGCAGATCATAGGGAATAGTTGCTAGAGATCAGGAGACGACAGTTGACTAGAAGAACATAGAAATAGTTGAGACGAAACAGCGAACAGTCATAGCTTTAGAGATTCACATAGATAGCTGACAGTTAGCGAAGACTGTAAAAGAAATTTTTATTTGAGCAATAAATATAGTCTATTTTATCATTGGACATCTGGAGTTTGAGTTTTTGGATTTCGTCCAAGTCTACGTTGTGCTTTTATCTGTCCCAACGCCTAGATACCCACAATATAAATCACAGAGAGGAGCGGTCCTGTACTGACCACTACTAAGTCAACACAGTTTGTGATAAGTCAGGACCAGAGCCCTCCTCCGTAACAACCATTCTGCGACACTCTGAAGTTTATTAATGTCCCAACCTTGAACTCAATCTCTAATATAATCTGGTAAGGAGATACCGACATAAAAATGTATCACCCCCCCCCTATTTTTAGCCCCAATTTTCATCACCATTAACATTTAACACACGAAGGGGTCAAATAAATATTTCATACATTTATGTCAGGTAACTTTTTAATAAGCTTCTGGCATTATTGCAAACGTGCACTTTTTTAAAGTTCCAATTTTGTTCTTTATAAAATTTCTAAATTAAATTTCTAAATTACATTTTTTGCGTGAAAAAGCTATAGCTTATTAAATGTTAAAGCAGTGACGTCATTTGGGCAGTGTGGGGCTATTTCTCCCCCCCCCCCTGCCTCTTGAATTTGAAGGTTTTATTTAAATTGCTATGTACTGTTGCTTAACAAGGAGAACAAGTTTTGCCCCCCCCCCCTTCTGAAAAAAACCTCTGTGTTAAAGATACAAAGTATATATTTTGTGGGATGTGTTCAAACAGAAGTAATCAAGTTAAAAAGTAAACATACACATTAATTTAAAAACGACTGGGAAAGACATCAGTCTCGTCTAATGGTTAAAATAAAGAAAAATTAATCATGGCTATCTAAGCTACTTCTTGTTTTTTAGAGATTGAATCATAAGACGATAAGCACAAAATATCAATTCACTTAAAGTTATCTAATAATTTTATAACAACATATTTACATTTTAATTTGATACACAATTACAACAGAATGCCTTTTATACAAAATACAATCTAACATTGGGGTTGATACTTAAACTCCCTATAAAATAAAATTAAACTTGCTTTCAATTTAATGAGTAGTTATACCAAGATGATAGAAAATTGCCTAATCTCTTTTAAATTTATCAAGGCACTTTGGGAAAACCCTAGAAGCGGATTTCGCATTTTTATCTGTGAAAATTGTATAAAAATATTTCAAGCATCACACACACGGATGAATGCTTAAAATATTATTGGATAATGACGTATCATTTAGATTGTATCATGATATTTATCATTAGATTGTATCATTTTGATTGTATCATCTAGATTGTATCATCTCTAAAGTATCATTTAGATGGGTGATCTATTCAAGATTTTAGTTTGTGTCCCGTAACTATTTAAGTTGTTCCTCGACCCTATACTGATTAAGGAGCCCAATTTTCTGATATGCACAAAAGTGAACATAATTCACCTAGATATGTTACGTACATTTATGCCAAGATATCCCCCCCCCTTTTTTTGGTGCAATTTTTATTTTACTCTGAAAATCTAAAAGACCAAAGAAAAAAAAAAGCAAATTTATATCTCGAATTCTGTAAAAATATCACACAAGGTTTTGTAGGATTTATCGTCAAACTGATTCCATGTATTTTCAAATATGAACATGCTAGATATTCTCAGATTGTACTTAGTAGTAAAGGTATTACAGTAATATTTATTCAACGCTATGTTAACCTGCATTTGACGTATGTTTTTTTTTTGGGCGACGCAAGGGGTTCTAAAGTTTCCGTTTACCCGCACCTATGTCAAATTTAGGTTATCCCCAGCGCCAATCTATTAAATTCGAAGTAAACTTCGAAATAGCGAATACATTGAAAAATATTTTTTAAAAAAGGGCTGCTTAAAAATCAATATAGCGCGTATGTAGGTCACTGAACGCCCGGATGGACACGCAAAATGACATTTTTAGCGCCACTTGTCTTTAGAAGGATACCGGATTTTATAGTTTAATTCCCTATCATGGTCCCATCAAAAGACGACTTTGGCGCCCTCTAATTTTGCCGCCTGTTGCTCTTCGCCAAACGCTCATGTTCCTGCCCGAGGGCCACGGGTGCCACAGGGCGATGCGGTGCATATCTTCTGGGAACCATCGGGCTCGCCAAACGGTCAATGGGGACAACACGTGTCAAATTCTGTTAACTTTAAACAAATTACATGAAGATTATTAGATTTTGCTGATTGTTTCTTAAGGTGGTCGGGAAAGGCCATTGTACCTTCGAAAGGGTTAAAAAGTGAGGGGGGGAGGGGGGTCGTAAAAGAAGATTACCTTCCACGGCTGTGGCCGGGGGGGTTGGTCTAAAATTTGAATTTGGTGCGTATGTACCTGTAACGATGGCCAAAGAATGCGTGCTAACCGCCAGCCTCAAGCAAATAACCCCAGACCTGCTATAAATTTAGATGGCTAGTAATTAGCTAGCATGTACTTATCTATAATTATCAATTAATATGTTACAAACTAGCTTACCCGGGAACTTATGAAATATATAACCCACTAATTTACCTGTGAAATAATGAATTCTATAACATGCAAGCTAACCTGTTGATATTTAGCTACTCGATAGCCCGCTAGCTTACATGTTGAAATTTACCTAAACAATAACGCACTAATTTACTTGTTGAAATTTAGCTAAACAATAACCCACTAGCTTACACGGGAAATTGTGAAGTGAATAACCCGCTAGCTATGTACAGCTAAATTCTGCCAATGTTCCCATGTTAGTAGGGGTGATGTAGGTCGATGAAATCTTGTTATTTCTCACTCCAGTCCCAACAAATCCCTTGGTAAGACCCGTCAATACATAATTAATATCCCGCTCCCTAATTTTTGCGAGACGTGTGCGTTAGAAATAGATCTGTCCTAGATGTCAGAGATTATTTTTAAAGATGACAAATGCGTTTCTTATACTGTTCATGAATTTGTCTGCTCCACCTTTGTGTTTTCTGGTGTATAAAAGGAGCATCGAACCCATGTAGTATCACATCGTCCCCAGACTCTTGCCCTGTACACCCAGACGTAAGTGGTTCAGGTAGGTTGGAGAACGTCGTAGACAAAAATAAATTAAAAGCTATTTGACCAAATATTCTGTATAGTGCTGCATTTGTCAAATGTATTGTCTAAATATTTTCAGCCAAAACAAAGGAAACATCATATAAAATTTTAACATGATTTAAAGAACTTACTCTAAAGAAATCTAGTTTTCATTTTTGATAGTATTCAAAAGACCGCGTTGCGTTGCATTGATAAATTATTGAAAACATTTATTTTTTTAATTTAAACTTGCTGTCCTAGTAATAATTTTTTTTTTAATTTTAAAAATAATCTTAGCACTGCCATAGAGATTAAAATAGTGGCTATGGGAGATGGATTAGAGACTATAAAGAAGTAGATGTAGCAGATGGGTTAGAGATGATAACAAGTAGCGTTGAGAGATCGGTTAGAGGTTATAAAAAGTGGCTGTGGGATAAGGGGTTAGAGATTATAAAGAAAAATACTTTGGAAGATGAGTTTTTAGAAAACTTAATTTCCTTTTTTTCTTTTCATATTTCGAAAATGCTAACTTTATTTTAGACTTTGCTCAAATATGTTGTGAGCTCAACTTCCATTGGCTGAATGACTCATTTTGAGCATTACTTCCTAACACAAATCAAATGAGTGTGAGGCTTGATAAAAATTATTTTGATGAATATTGTAAATAGATCGTTAAGATAAAATATTTAAATGATGACCCAAATTGCTTTATGTGTATTTGCCTACGGATTGTTATCTAACATAATGTTTCTGGTACTGTCTTCATCAGCTGTAATATTTCAACCATGGCTCGTATGGAGATGATCGTCAGTTTCGCCATTTTGGCTATTGCCTCTGCTAGCTACAGTGGTTTCAACTACGGTAGCCAGGGGAACTACGGTAGCTCAGGAAAAGCCTATGATGGTCAGAGCAACTATGGTAGCTCAGGAAACGCCTATGGTGGTCAGAGCAACTACGGCAGCAACTATGGAAATAACCAGTACAAGAATGTAGGCAACAACGACCAGTACAGAGATGGTCTTTACTACGATCCAGGCACCAGCTACGTCCAGGCTTATGGGGGATCAAACAGCTACCAATCTGGAAATGACTACAACAACAACAACAACTACGACAACAACAACTACAAATCACCAAGCTACAATGTCCCAAGCTACCCCAAACAATCCTCTTATGGTGCAAAATATGCCACCTACAACAAACCATCCTACACTGCCCCAGCCTCAACAAGCTACGGAAGTGGATCCTCCTACACTGCCCCAGCCTCAACCAGCTACGGAAGTGGATCATCCTACACTGCCCCAGCCTCAACCAGCTACGGAAGTGGATCCTCCTACACTGCCCCAGCCTCAAACAGCTACGGAAGTGGATCATCCTACACTGCCCCAGCCTCAACCAGCTACGGAAGTGGATCCTCCTACACTGCTCCAGCCTCAACCAGCTACGGAAGTGGATCCTCCTACACTGCCCCAGCCTCAACCAGCTACGGAAGTGGATCCCCCTACACTGCTCCAGCCTCAACCAGCTACGGAAGTGGATCATCATACTCTGGCTCTGGCTCTAACTACGGAAGTGGAAGCTCTTACTCCAACAGCGACGACTCCAGTGTTGGAACATGTAAGTTTATTTATAAACTGGTTCTAATTTCCGATAAAAACTATATTATAAATAAGTAGACTAATGACAATGTCATTTTTTTAAACTTTAATTACCGACGTAATCAAGTCTACTTCATTACTATAATAATTACATTTTGATAGGGGAAACAAATGTAATCAATAAAAATATCTCCAATGTTAACATTATTACCTTGGCTTCCCTATTCCCCAGACCCATGTGGACCTAAATACGAAGGCAAGACCTACGCCATTGTTGGACTGTGTTACGGATATTACGAGTGCTACTATGGCGAGTCTCTCTACCGTCAATGTAACAACTACTACAGTTTCGATGCTTACTCTGGCAAATGTGTTGCTGACAACACTTGCGCTTACGGTAAACATATCAATTTTTTAAATGTTGCATTATTTTATTTTTACCAGTAAAGTGTCGATTTAAAAATAATCACATCTGTTTTAATTTAATTTTCAATGCTTGTAGGTATTCACTAATTCACAGATTGGAATAGTTGTCTTTAAATATAACTTCAATGCTATATTTCACTATATCATTAACTGCCTATCTCACTGTCTCACTGTCTACCTATCTCACTGTTCCACTATCTGCCTATCTCACTGTGTCACTATCTGCTTATCTCACTGTGTCACTAACTGCCTATCGCACTATGTCACTATCTGCCGGTCTCACTGTCTCACTATCTGCCTATCTCACTGTCTCACTATCTGACGATTTGACTGTCTCATTATATGCATATCTCACTGTGTCACTATCTGCTATCTCACTGTGTCACTCTCTGTCTATCTCACTGTTTACCTATCTCACTGTCCCACTATCTGCCTATCTCACTGTCTCACTATCTGCCTATCTCACTGTGTCACTATCTGCTTATCTCACTGTGTCACTAACTGCCTATCGCACTATGTCACTATCTGCCGGTCTCACTGTCTCACTATCTGCCTATCTCACTGTCTCACTATCTTACTATCTCACTGTCTCATTATCTGCCTATCTCACTGTGTCACTATCTGCTATCTCACTGTCTCACTAACTGCCCTTTTCACTGTGTCACTATCTATCTCACTGTGTCACTATCTGCCTATCTCACTGTCTCACTATCTGCCTATCTCACTGTCTCACTATCTGCCTATCTCACTGTGTCACTAAATTACTTTATCACTATCTTTGGAAAACATTTCTATTTGTCCATCACAGTTGCCCCAGCCGTTGCCTACGACAACAGCAACTACAACAACAACGGATACGCCGCTGCCAACAACAACAACTACAACAACAACGGATACGCCGCTGCCAACAGCAACTACAACAACAATGGATACGCCGCTGCCAACAACAACAACGCCAACAGCGCTTACTCAGGCAAATCCAGCAGTGGATATTAAGTCTAAAGTTGTTTTTTTTGAATGAATTGGTGTGCAACGTCCATTCATTACATGAGTCCGACGTGTCGTGTGTGTCATGTGTCTCAAGTGTGTCATGCGTGTCGTGTCTGTCATGTTCGTCAATTTAGAGCTCGAACGGTTGGTCTCACCAATGTCTGTACACAGAACAGTGAAAGTCTAAATAAATGTTGAACAAAATAATGATGAGGTTTTTCTTTCATTTCTTGAGACTATTTTATGATTATTGGGCTGCATTTTATTTTGAAGACATATGAGCTATGTTTTTATTCAATAAAGTTATTGATCACAAATCTTCTTTAATATAATTATTATCATAAAATGGCTTCACTATAACAATGATCACATATTGTCTTTACTTTGGCAATGATCACTAATTGGTTTTAAATATAACAATGACCAAACATTGTGTTTACTATAGCAATAATCATACATTGACTTGAATATAGCAACAATTAAAAATTGGCTTTGCTATCACAAAAAATATAAAATGGCTCGATAATTTCATAATCACAAAATGTCTTTACCTACGTATCACACGGCCGCCATCTTGGTTGCCGTGACCAATGAACTTTTACCGGTTTAACAGCTCGCGGCCATCAAGTAGGCGTCCGTGTAAGAATAAAATAACTGACGTCTGCTAACATTAGGAATTTCAAGAAAAAAACTTCCACCGGTAAATAAATATCGTGGTGAATGTTGCTAATTTATTTTATCCGTCTAGATATTTGGCAAGAAGCGTCTACCACATGTGGTCACTCCTTTCCCTCGGGTAATTCAGTCGGTACACACACAAAATAAATCAGTCACTCAACCGCACCCAAGCCCTTTTAAACCAGCCCTAGAGACTCACGGGAAGAAAAAAAAAGAATACGTGTGTGGCTGCAGTTACACACTGTGGCAAGAGAACTATACAAATAACGTAACACAAGAAAAATATGAGTAAAATAACTAAATAATGAAATCCCGACTTACAGTTTCATAAAATACACTTTTACACACTTAATTTCAGGTTCTATCGAAAAGAATATCCAGAAGATGAATAAAAGCCAAAAGCCATGCCAAGCCAGATTCATTTTCAAATATGGCAAAAAATTTAAAATATTATAATTACCCAACCAATGAAATTTTAAAATCATAATAAATTAACCAATAAAAATTTAATTAAAACACGTCATCGTCATATTAAAGAAAATGTAACTCTATTAACAAAAAAGGGGGAGTGAATCCAAAACAGAAACTTAATAAAAACCCATAAATGACGTCATGGTGACATCTCTTAGTATTAGCTTTTAAAAACAACAAGTCATTTATTTGGTCTTGTCGATATAGCCTTTATACTTATCAAGTTTACTTGCATGTTTACTCTCAGAGTGCCGTTGATGTTATACTCTTTCAAAACAGAAACAGATTCGTGGCCTATCAAGCATGTGGGCTTTGTTTTAATTTCAAGGAAAAAATAGTTTCCATTCCACCTGTCTTGAAAACATCTTAGTTCTTCTGGGATTTTCTAGTTTTGTTTTGGGCCAATGTCTTTCCTAGTTGACGCCATGTTAAGTCATGAGCCTGATCGCGTTGGGAACGCCCCGAAGACGCCGCAGACCACAGAACACACATTTCGGAAGCTGAAATCTCGTATTAAATCTTATAAACACCCTAGCACCGAACAAACACCTTAGTAGCATTGGGTGTCACCAAACTAGAGATTAGAAATTGCTAAAATCTATTTAATTTTGTCCAAAAAATTCTGGATAATTAAAATAGGTGAAAACCTTTGAATTAAAAAAAAAAAAGCGAGATATTTCAAATTTCTCTTGGTTATACTTAAAAAATATATTATTATGATACGAGCGCCTCAAGATGTGATTTTCTATTGTTGATATGTACAACAATTGATGTTCATTTATTGACCTAGCTCCGCGGGCAGCAACATGACTCCCGGCGGGCCGCAACATGACTCCCGGCGGGCCGCAATGAACACGCGGGCCCCCTGTTTGCCACCCTTAACCCAATATTGAAGACTTATGTTTGAACAACCATTTGAATAACAAGATAATCTATTACCATCACCTTGAAATTATCACTACACTATAAACTTCTAAACATTGTGGTACGATAAGTAAAAAGTATTCATTAATTTTTTTTCGCTATTCGCCAAGACAATTCGGACTATGAACCATGCTAGAGTTGTTACAAGATTACTCTAAATAGGACTTAGAGATTGCCCTAGCTACAGGGAAGAATGTATGGTAGACTCCAAGGGGTGTCACGAAATACTTGACAGCTTTACTTTTGCTAAATTTTTTACTGCAATATTGTGTTTCTTTCTCTATCGAGTTCATTTGGTAAATACATTTCTGTACGACCACATTTACCCCATAGATATACAGTTACGAAAACATTTACTCTAAGATATAAAGTTACGAAAACATTTACTCTATAGATATAAAGTTACGAAAACATTTACTCTGTTCCTCACAATTACGCCATAGATGTACAGTTCCAGAAACAATTACTCTTTATCCAGATTTACTCCATAGATATACAGTTCCGATTTACAGTTTGCCTATAAATAGACAAGTTCCGAAATAACTTATATTTGCAAAATGGTAAAGCAATATTCCTTTAAAAAAAAATCTTCTTACAAATAAAAATTTATGTACCATTAACTGACTTACAGATACAGCAGAGATATTCAACTTGTACCATTAACAGACTTACAGATACAGCAGAGATATTCATCTTGTACCATTAACTGACTTACAGATACAGCAGAGATATTCAACTTGTACCATTAACAGACTTACAGATACAGCAGAGATATTCATCTTGTACCATTAACTGACTTACAGATACAGCAGAGATATTCATCTTGTACCATTAACTGACTTACAGATACAGCAGAGATATTCAACTTGTACCATTAACTGACTTACAGATACAGCAGAGATATTCAACTTGTACCATTAACAGACTTACAGATACAGCAGAGATATTCAACTTGTACCATTAACTGACTTACAGATACAGCAGAGATATTCAACTTGTACCATTAACTGACTTACAGATACAGCAGAGATATTCAACTTGTACCATTAACAGACTTACAGATACAGCAGAGATATTCATCTTGTACCATTAACTGACTTACAGATACAGCAGAGATATTCAACTTGTACCATTAACTGACTTACAGATACAGCAGAGATATTCAACTTGTACCATTGACTGACTTACAGATACAGCAGAGATATTCAACTTGTACCATTAACTGACGTACAGATACAGAAGATGTGTTCAACTTATTTGAAATATATTTGAAAGAATTCCGTCCTGCAAACATTTAAATGACGTCTTTTTACAATGTCATGCAGCAAACTAACAAACATCACAGTGGTGTAAGTGCGGCGACTCTGTTAAATCCCATCTTATAAATCTCTGCGTATCAATTTATGTATGTAATGGTACTGGGTACTTTTTATTAAGAGAACATTAAGATGGTGAATATTATCATTTCCGCCTTCATATCATTTGTGGTTGTCATGGTTTGACTGAGTGAACATGGATCGGATGACGTAACCGTGAATTGGGGGTCTGTTTTAATTAATCCTACTTAACTTACTGGAATTAAACAACAAACATTATTTTGGAACCAACCAAAAGTGGTACAAGTAGGCGGCAACCACGGGCAAGCTACTCTAAAAAAAAAAATATTAAACGTAGCAACTAGTCTCAATTTAAATATGATCTTACTAGCAAAATGGCCCGATGTTACTGGGATAATACTTGAATCCATATTGCACCATTTTCCACCTATTCTTGTGAAGTCTCAAAATCTAAAATACCATTTGTACTTAAATAAATAAATCGATTTTGATGTATTGCATACTCGAAAAACTTTGTTTGTTAAATTTCAATGCTCTTGAAGGTATACTTAGGAAATAATAAATTAGACTTTCGTTATTTCGCTATATATAGATACTTATATTTCTCACATTATCGGGCTATACTATTTTTTTTAATTTCTATATAACATGGGCAAATCCAACCTATTTCCACGCCCATGAACTACAAATAAAACATGTCTAAAAATGTCCTTCACTTTAAAAAGTGATATCGTCATTAAGCCTTTGCCTAACCTTTATCCTCACTTCTGAACTAGGCTATCGGAAAATCGTTAAAAAAAACAACAACAAAAATCTTATATTTAAAGACTAATCTATTTTCCTACCTGAAAGTCTTGTGTTTTTAAAATATCTTTCTCAATCTCATAAAAATTTCCCTTGATCCTAAACTGTATTTTTAAGCTAAATTAAACACAGCAACAACAAACAAACAAAAACACCTTATATTTTAAGATAATCTTAACCAATATTTGCTCACAAAAACGAAAAAAATGACCTTATATTTAAATATAATCTTAACCCATTAACCCATATTTTCCCACGCACCTGAGAGGTATTTTCGGGATAAAATATAGTCTAATACAGCTATTTAAATATTTTTTAAAGATTAGTTTTGACTCCTATAAAATAATTGTGTTTTTAAGTATTATTATCACTATCAAAATTACAGTCACAATCACAATCACAATCTAATTACAATTACAATCATAATCACAATCTAAATTAAAATTACAATCATAATCACAATCACCAACCCGTTACCCTCGTCGTTGAAATAGATATTTTGAAAAAAAATGAAAAATACCGAGTTTCAAAGAAAATCTAATCCATTATTTTCCCAACTTAACTAAGTTTTGAATGGTCTAATGTAAATGTGTCCACAATGCGACAACGCCAATGAACTCCATCTTCTGACATCAATCTAAAACGTAGTTATCTATTTGGAAAGGATATTTTAAAACCTCTTTTCCACGTCTGTAACATCGTATTGAAATATATTGTTAGTCACATCAAAATGCACACGTCCTCCCTCTTCCCCACTGAAATTCGCTTGAGGTAGAAAGTTCAATATATCATTTCATTTATATTAAAACTGTTTATATACCATTTTCTGGTGAGTATCCTATTTCAAATATAGCTGGCTCCATCATTTACGCCCACCAATTCGTTGGCGCATCTTGTGCTGCCTGGGACGACCCCACCCCTAAACCCAATTTGTTTTATTCTGGTTTTTAAAGTAACCCATTAATAACGTAGTTGCTCAATTTTTTACCCACCCGGAACTATATTATTGACCAACTTAAATGTCCCAACCTGGAACTATTTTAATGACCCACTTAAATT